GCATATGTATATGGAAAATGGTGCATTGGCCAGGTCGGTCAGTATGGGAACTTAGAGTGCAAATGCCTGGGAGAACGGAACCGCTCAGATCTCGCATAGTACACGGAATCTAGTGGTCTCACTCAAATATAAGGTAGGAAATATATTAATCGAGTGAACGTAAGGGTTTGAAAGGTAACTAACGCACATGTGTAGAGAAGATGGTGCATCGGCCAGTCTGGCCGTCATTTCGCACTTATAGTGCAATTGGGGCCAGGGAGAACAGAAACGCTCTTTTCACAAAAAGTATAGGGAATCTAGCGGTCTCACTTGATCAGAAGGTGGGAAATATATAAATCTAGTGATCTAATAAGGTTCGAAAGGAATCTAATGCATATGTATATGGAAAATGGTGCATTGGCCAGGTCGGTCAGTATGGGAACTTAGAGTGCAAATGCCTAGGAGAACGGAACCGCTCAGATCTCGCATAGTACACGGAATCTAGTGGTCTCACTCAAATATAAGGTAGGAAATATATTAATCGAGTGAACGTAAGGGTTTGAAAGGTAACTAACGCACATGTGTAGAGAAAATGGTGCATCTGCCAGTCTGGCCGGCATTTCGCACTTATAGTGCAAGTGGGGCCAGGGAGAACGGAAACGCTCGTTTCTCAAAAACTAGAGGGAATCTAGCGGTCTCACTCGATCAGAAGGTGGGAAATATATAAATCTAGTGAGCTAATAAGGTTTGAAAGGAATCTAATGCATATGTATATGGAAAATGGTGCATTGGCCAGGTCCGTCAGTATGGGAACTTAGAGTGCAAATGCCTGGGAGAACGGAACCGCTCAGATCTCACATAGTACACGGAATCTAGTGGTCTCACTCAAATATAAGGTAGGAAATATATTAATTGAGTGAACGTAAGGGTTTGAAAGGTAACTAACGCACATGTGTAGAGAAAATGGTGCATCGGCCAGTCTGGCCGTCATTTCGCACTTATAGTGCAAGTGGGGCCAGGGAGAACAGAAACGCTCGTTTCTCAAAACGTAGAGGGAATCTAGCGGCCTCACTCGATCAGAAAGTGGGAAATATATAAATCTAGTTTGCTAAAAAGGCTTGAAAGGAATCTAATGCATATGTATATGGAAAATGGTGCATTGGCCAGGTCGGTCAGTATGGGAACTTAGAGTGCAAATGCCTGGGAGAACGGAACCGCTCAGATCTCGCATAGTACACGGAATCTAGTGGGCTCACTCAAATATAAGGTAGGAAATATATTAATCGAGTGAATGTAAGGGTTTGAAAGGTAACTAACGCACATGTGTAGAGAAAATGGTGCATCGGCCAGTCTGGCCGGCATTTCGCACTTATAGTGCAAGTGGGGCCAGGGAGAACGGAGACGCTCATTTCTCAAAAAGTATAGGGAATCTAGCGGTCTCACTTGATCAGAAGGTGGGAAATATATAAATCTAGTGAACTAACAAGGTTCGAAAGGAATCTAATGCATATGTATATGGAAAATGGTGCATTGGCTAGGTCGGTCAGTATGGGAACTTAGAGTGCAAATGCCTGGGAGAACGGAACCGCTCAGATCTCGCATAGTACACGGAATCTAGTGGTCTCACTCAAATATAAGGTAGGAAATATAAACATCTAGTGAACGTAAGGGTTTGAAAGGTAACTAACGCACATGTGTAGAGAAAATGGTGCATCGGCCAGTCTGGCCGGCATTTCGCACTTATAGTGCAAGTGGGGCCAGGGAGAACGGAAACGCTCGTTTCTCAAAAAGTATAGGGAATCTAGCGGTCTCACTTGATCAGAAGGTGGGAAATATATAAATCTAGTGAGCTAATAAGGTTCGAAAGGAATCTAATGCATATGTATATGGAAAAAGGTGCATTGGCCAGGTCGGTCAGTATGGGAACTTAGAGTGCAAATGCCTGGGAGAACGGAACCGCTCAGATCTCGCATAGTACAAGGAATCTAGTGGTCTCACTCAAATATAAGGTTGGAAATATATTAATCGAGTGAACATAAGGGTTTGAAAGGTAACTAACGCACATGTGTAGAGAAAATGGTGCATCGGCCAGTCTGGCCGTCATTTCGCACTTATAGTGCAAGTGGGGCCAGGGAGAACGGAAACGCTCATTTCTCAAAAAGTAGAAGGAATCTATCGGTCTCACTCGAACAGAAGGTGGGAAATATATAAATCTAGTGAGCTAATAAGGTTCGAAAGGAATCTAATGCATATGTATATGGAAAATGGTGCATTGGCCAGGTCGGTCAGTATGGGAACTTAGAGTGCAAATGCCTGGGAGAACGGAAACGCTCAGATCTCGCATAGTACACAGAATCTAGTGGTCTCACTCAAATATAAGGTAGGAAATATATTAATCGAGTGAACGTAAGGGTTTGAAAGGTAACTAACGCACATGTGTAGAGGAAATGGTGCATCGGCCAGTCTGGCCGGCATTTCGCACTTATAGTGCAAGTGGGGCCACGGACAACGGAAACGCTCGTTTCTCAGAAAGTAGAGGGAATCTAGCGGTCTCAATCGATCAGAAGGTGGGAAATATATAAATCTAGTCAGGTAAAACTGTTTAAAAGGAATCTAATGCATATGTATATGGAAAATGGTGCACTGGCCAGGTCGGTCAGTATGGGAACTTAGAGTGCAAATGCCTGGGAGAACGGAACCGCTCAGATCTCGCATAGTACACGGAATCTAGTGGTCTCACTCAAATATAAGGTAGGAAATATATTAATCGAGTGAACGTAAGGGTTTGAAAGGTAACTAATGCACATGTGTAGATAAAATGGTGCATCGGCTAGTCTGGCCGGCATTTCGCACTTATAGTGCAAGTGGGGCCACGGACAACGGAAACGCTCGTTTCTCAGAAAGTAGAGGGAATCTAGCGGTCTCACTCGATCAGAAGGTGGGAAATATATAAATCTAGTCAGGTAAAACGGTTTAAAAGGAATCTTATGCATATGTATATGGAAAATGGTGCACTGGCCAGGTCGGTCAGTATGGGAACTTATAGTGCAAATGCCTGGGAGAACGGAACCGCTCAGATCTCGCATAGTACACGGAATCTAGTGGTCTCACTCAAATATAAGGTAGGAAATATATTAATCGAGTGAACGTAAGGGTTTGAAAGGTAACTAATGCACATCTGTAGATAAAATGGTGCATCGGCTAGTCTGGCCGACATTTCGCACTTATAGTGCACGTGGGGCCAGGGAGATCGGAAACGCTCGTTTCTAAAAAAGTAGAGGGAATCTAGCGGTCTCACTCGATCAGAAGGCGGGAAATATAAAAATCTAGTGAGCTAATAAGGTTCGAAAGGAATCTAATGCATATGTATATGGAAAATGGTGCATTGGCCAGGTCGGTCAGTATGGGAACTTAGAGTGCAAATGCCTGGGAGAACGGAACCGCTCAGATCTCGCATAGTACAAGGAATCTAGTGGTCTCACTCAAATATATGGTAGGAAATATATTAATCGAGTGAACATAAGGGTTTGAAAGGTAACTAACGCACATGTGTAGAGAAAACGGTGCATCGGCCAGTCTGGCCGGCATTTCGCACTTATAGTGCAAGTGGGGCAAGGGAGATCGGAAACGCTCGCTTCTCAAAAAGTAGAGGGAATCTAGCGGTCTCACTCGATGAGAAGGTGGGAAATATATAAATGTAGTGAGCTAATAAGGTTCGAAAGGAATCTAATGCATATGTATATGGAAAATGGTGCATTGGCCAGGTCGGTCAGTATGGGAACTTAGAGTGCAAATGCTTGGGAGAACGTGTCAGAACATTATAGCTTACTTATTTGTGTAGGCTATAGTGGGGTATCCCATAGGGGGTACAACCCAGTTAGGGTTTCCTATTTGTACTCACTTCGTTCATAGTCATTTCTTCTCATGGAATCAGAGCAGGTCCCCTCCTAGGGACTGTTCCTAGGGCCCACCGAAGCGCGCCCCGAGGCGCGTGTTTTTTTTTAGCGACCCTGCGTGTCGCCCTTACCGTCGTGATCCCGCCGACCTTTTCTCGTCGGCCCGGTTTAGTCCCCGCTATGGCCCCGCGTCGGCCCCGCTTAGGCCCCTCGACGGCCCCGCTTAGGCCCCTCGTCGGCCCTGCTTAGGCCCCTCGTCGGCCCCGCTTAGGCCCCTCGTCGGCCCCGCTTAGGCCCCTCGTCGGCCCCGCTACGGCCCCGCGTCGGCCCCGCTTAGGCCCCTCGACGGCCCCGCTTAGGCCCCTCGTCGGCCCCGCTTAGGCCCCTTGTCGGCCCCACTTAGGCCTCTTCGGCCTCGCTTGAGCGCCGTCGGCCCCGCTTAGACCCCGCGTCGGCCCCGCTTAGGCCTCGTCGGCCCCGCTTAGGCCCCGTCGGCCCGCTTAGGCCCCTGCTACGGCCCCTCGTCGGCTCCGCCTAGGCCCCGTCGGCCCGCTTAGGCCCCACTAAGGCCCCGCGTCGACCCCGCTTAGGCCCCGTCGGCCCCGCTTCGGCCCCACTTCGGCCCCACTACGGCCCCCGCTACGGCCCCTTCGGCTCCGTCGGCCCCGTCTAGGCCCCGCCGACCCTGCTACGGCCCCGCTACAGCCCGCCGTCGGCCCCGCTACAGCCCGCCGTCGGCCCCGCTACAGCCCCGCTACAGCCCCGCTACAGCCCGCCGTTGGCCCCGCCGCCCGTGCTGCAGCCCGCCGCGCCGCCTGTACAGCCGCCCGTGCGCCGCCCGTGCAGCCGCCCGTGCAGCCGCCCATCGGGCCGCCTGTGAGCCGCCCCAGCCGCCCGTGAGCAGCCCGTGCAGCCGCCCGCGCCGCCCGTGATCCCCTGCATCACCCGAGCCGCGCGAGCCGCCCGAGCCACCCGAGCCGCCCGTGCCGCCCGAGCCGCCCGAGCCGCCCGAGCCGCCTGAGCCGCCCGAGCCACCAGAGGAGCCGCTCTCCTGCCCCTGGGCTTTGTTCCTGTGCCGCTGACCTACCCAACTTTTCCTGCCCGGTAAGACTGTCACCTGCTGTCATGGCCACCCCCAATGTCCTAGCTTTTGACGCTGAGGGTAGAGCCATTGACTTTGCAGTCTGGATTGAAGACCTGCAGCTGTACTTACTGTGTGATGCGGTAGATGAGGTCTCTCTCTTTGACTTTGTCTCTAGCGCTGTCCCTGCCCCTCCTGCTGATGCTGACTCCGCCGTTCGCTCCAAGTGGGCGACCCGCGATGCTGCTGCACGTCTTGCTATGCGTCGCCACCTCCCTTCCTCCGAGCGTACCCACTTTAGCCAGTGCAAGACCGCTCAGGCCTTGTACGACGCTGTAGTTGCACGCTACTCCTCCCCTTCCTCCGCTACGCTGAGCCGTCTCATGCTACCGTTTCTCTTCCCTGACCTCGCTGCCTTTCCCACTATCGCTGACCTCGTTACCCACCTCCGCGCTAGTGACGCCCGCTACCGCGCTGCCCTTCCTGCTGAGTTCCGCGCCGCAAACCCTCCTCCCATGTACATCACTCTCTACTTTCTCGTCACCCGTCTCCCTGAGTCCCTTCGTGTCGTTAGGGACCAGTTTCTCTCTGTCTGTCCCACCACCCTCACTGTCGACCTCCTTGAGGAGTCCCTGCTAGCGGCTGAGAAGAGCATCGTCGCTGTAGGGGCCTCTCGGGGTGACCCTCGCACCCCCATCTTTGAGGGGTGTTCTCCTTCCCCCCTGCTGCCCTCTGTCGCCTCTGCCGCTGCGGCCGACCTCGCTGGTTTTGAGTCGGTCGGTGCGGCGTCTGCCCCCAGCAGTAGACGCCGCCCTGGCAAGGGCAAGGGGGGTAAGGGCGCGGGTGGAGCTAGAGGGGGCAGTGGCGGGGGAGGTGGGGGTGGCGGGGGAAGTGGGGGTGGCGGTGGAGGTGGTGGCGGGAGTGGAGGTGCTGGTGGAGGCGGTGGAGGCGGAGGTGGCGGCGGAGGAGGTAGCGGAGGAGGCGGGGGCGAGGGTGCCAGTGGGGGCGGTGGCGGTGGAGACGGGGGTGGCGGTGGAGGCGGGGGTGGCGGTGGCGGCGGAGGTCGGAGTGGCTCGTCTCAGCGGAGCAGCTCTGGGGGTGGCCAGCGCCAGCAGCAGCAGCAGCCACAGCATCAGCAGCGCTCTCGCACCGTCCCCGCCCTTCAGCAGCTCCGTGAGTGGTACTTGCAGCGTCAGCGTGGTGGTGCGTTTGGTCCCTGCCCCTACGTTCTTCGCACCGGCGACCGTGCGGGGGAGAGGTGTGGAGGCACCCACACAGCCCGCCGCTGCTTTGGCCGCCTGACCGACGCCTGGCGTCAGCAGTTTCCGGAGGACGCTGAGATCCCCCGCTGGGGGGAGCTGTCTAGGGCTGGTGTAGCTATTTATGATCTTGATTTTGATGCTATTCTTTCTGCTATGTATGCTGTGACTGGTAGTGATGAGGATGACTGTTACCGGTGTTTCCCGCCCGACCCGGGCATTGGTACTGCTGCGTCAGGTGCTAGTGAGGCTGCTGCTCTAGGTGCCAGTGCGTCTGTGCTCTCAGGTACTGGTGAGTCTGCCCTCTCATGTACTGTGTCGGCTTCGGCCTCTCACACCTTCACCCTTGACTCTCGAGCGTCTCGCTCCTTCTTTCGAAACCGCACCACTCTCACGCCGCTGAGTCGGCCGGTTGCGGTGTCCCTGGCTGACCCCTCTGGGGGGCCTGTCCTGTCTCGCTTCTCCACGGTCCTTCCGTGTCCGGCGGCCCCCTCTGGCACCCTGTCTGGTCTCTACCTCCCCTCGTTCTTGACGAACCTGGTGAGTGGTGCTGACCTACAGGATGCGGGTGTCCACCAGTTCACTCCTGCTCGTCAGCGGGTGACCCACTACATGGAGGCTAGCACGGGACGCCACCTAGCTACGTTTACACGTCGGCCAGGGTCGAGCCTGTACACACTGACCACTGCTTCTCCTCCAGGTGCTGAGTCTGGTAGGGTCCCTTCGTCTGGTCAGGTGTTTGCCGCAGCGTCCAGGTCTGGTCCTGAGTCTTCCCCCTGTTCGTGTCGTCGTCTGTCTCACGAGACTCTCCTCTGGCACCACCGCCTTGGCCACCCCTCTCTGCTTCGGCTCAGAGGCATGGCCTCCCGCCTTCTTGTGTCTGGTCTCCCCCGGTCTCTACCTCCCCTTCCTCAGGGCCCTGGCCCTGCCTGTGTCCCTTGTGTCGAGGGGCGCCAGCGTGCTGCCCCTCACTCCTCCCAGTTTCCTCCGACAGAGGCCCCGTTGCAGACGCTTCACATGGACGTGTGGGGCCCAGCCCGCGTCCGTGGACAGGGTCAGGAGCGCTACTTCCTGCTCGTTGTTGACCACTACTCGCGTTACACCACAGTCTTCCCCTTGCGCAGCAAGGGTGAGGTTACTGAGGTGCTGATCGACTGGATCCGCGCAGCTCGTCTCCAGCTTCGGAGGAGCTTTGGCTCCGACATTCCTGTGTTGCGTCTGCACTCTGACAGAGGCGGAGAGTTCTCCTCTGGCCTTCTGCGTGCCTACTGTCGGGCGCGAGGCATCCGCCAGTCCTTCACGCTTCCGGACTCCCCGCAGCAAAATGGGATTGCTGAGCGCCGCATTGGCATGGTCATGGACGTCGCCCGTACGTCCATGATGCATGCGGCTGCCCCCCATTTTCTGTGGCTGTTTGCGGTCAGGTACGCAGCGCATCAGATCAACCTCCACCCCAGGGTCTCCAGGCCGGAGACCTCCCCAGCCCTGCTGTGGACGGGGAAGGTTGGCGATGCGTCGGCGTTCCGGGTCTGGGGATCTCGGGCATTTGTCCGCGACTTGTCTGCGGACAAGCTGTCCCCTTGCGCTGCTCCCTGCGTCTTCTTGGGGTTCCCCCCCGACGCCCCTGGGTGGCAGTTCCACCAACCCACCTCTCGACGTGTTCTGTCCTCCCAGGACGTCACGTTCGTCTCGCCGGGAGCCACTCTCCCCACAGGAGCTGCGTGAGTGGTTTGCCAGGCGCTGGAGGCGTGCTGCTGGTGCTAGTGGTTCTTCGGCTGCAGAGGGTTCTGCTATCGCGCGTCCCGGCGGTGCTTGTACTGTGGGTGCTGGAGCTGCTGGGTCTGAGGGTTCTCCTGGAGCTGGTGCTGCTGAGGGTGTTGGCGCTGAGACTGCCGCTGGCGGTCCGACTGACAGTGCTCCTGGTACTGCTACTGGAGGTTCTGGAGCTACTGGAGGTGCTGTTGGGGGTGCTGCTGGAGTGGCTGCTCCTGCTAGGGGTACTGGTGCTGTTCCTGCTGTTTCTGGCGTCGCTACGCGGCCCCGACCGTACTTCGTTCCACTCTTGCAGCAGGTTCTTGGTCTTACACCTCCTCCTCCCTTAGAGGGTCCACAGCCTGTCCAGTCACAGCCACAGCTACAGCCTGCCTCCCCTTTGCCTGCTCCTTCTCCCTACGCTGGTCCGACTGGAGGTCTTACTGAGCGTCGTGAGCCTGCGTCTCATCCTGCGTCGCCTGTTCGTACTGCGCGCGCTAGTGGTCGCGGGTCGCGTCAGCGTCCTCCTCCTGTCCTTGGCACGCACCGGATGTCACTGCGTCCGTCCACTGCTCCTCTGCGTGCCCCTTTGCCTTCTCCTCCTGCTTCCTCTCTTCCTGCTCTTGCCGACCCCGAGTCGGACTCTCTTCGTGCTGCCAGTCCTACTGTCACGCGTCTCCTTGCTACTGCTGTCACTGACCCTTCCTTCGAGTCGTCTGCTGCGTCTGCCCTTGTCACTGAGCTTGTCGACTTTGCTGCGCGCTGTCGTCTAGACTACGCTACCAGTCTTGTCGCTGAGTCTGAGTCTGCCTGTCCTCCGTCCGTCGGGGGTGAGTGTGCCCTTGGCACGGACGTCCTTGAGGACAGGCAGGAGGAGTTCCAGTGTCTGGCCGCCGCTTCACCTCATCTCGCGTCTGTACTACTAGCCCCTGAGGGAGACCCGGATGCACCAAACATCCCGACTCCGCGCTCTTACGCGGAGGCGATTGAGGGTCCCTACTCCTCTCAGTGGCAGGCAGCTATGGATGCAGAGATGGCTTCCTGGAAGTCCACAGGCACCTACGTCGACGCTGTTCCCCCTCCTGGGGTGAACATCGTCAGTGGCATGTGGATTTTCAGGGTGAAGCAGCCGCCGGGTTCTCCGCCTGTCTTCAAGGCGCGTTACGTGGCTCGTGGCTTCAGTCAGCAGCAGGGGGTTGACTACTTTCAGACCTTCTCCCCCACCCCGAAGATGACCACTCTTCGGGTTCTGCTGCACTTTGCTGCTCACCGTGACTACGAGCTGCACTCTTGCAGCTTTCTTGCAGGGCAGCCTGCACGAGGAGATCTGGCTACGTCGCCCACCTGGCTTCACTGGGTCTTTCCCTCCTGGTACCCAGTGGAGTCTTCGGCGTCCAGTCTACGGTCTCCGCCAGGCGCCATGTAAGTGGCACGACACACACCGAGGACTACGCTCGCGGCACTTGGGTTTGCTTCTTTTTCTGCCGACCCGTCGCTGTTTCTGCGCACCGACACCTCCCTGCCGCCGTTCTACATCCTCGTGTACGTCGACGACTTGGTCTTTGCCACAGCTGACACTGCTGGACTCGCCTACGTGAAGTCCGAGCTGCAGAAGAGACACACGTGCACTGACCTGGGTGAACTGCGTAGCTACCTTGGCTTGCAGATCACCCGGGACAGAGCACGCCGCACCATTACCCTGACTCAGTCACACATGGTGCAGCAGGTCCTTCAGCGCTTCGGCTTCACGTACTCCTCGCCTCAGGCCACTCCTCTGCCTACTCGCCACTCGCTCTCAGCTCTGCCTTCGGATGAGTCCGTAGAGTCGAGTGGCCCGTTTGCAGAGCTTGTTGGCTGCCTCATGTACCTGATGACCTGCACACGACCTGAACTTGCATACCCTCTTAGCATTCTCGCACGCTATGTTGCTCCTGGGAGACACCGACCGGAGCACATGGCTGCAGCGAAGAGGGTGTTGCGCTACTTGTGCAGTACGTCGGGCATGGGGCTAGTGCTTGGAGGGCGCAGTCCAGTGGTCCTCACTGGGCACGCAGACGCTTCTTGGGCTGACGACCAGGCTACGCAGCGGTCGTCACAGGGTTACACCTTCAGCCTTGGTTCCGGCTTTGTTTCGTGGCGGGCTTCCCGCTCGTCTTCTGTTCTCGGCTCCAGTTGTGAGGCTGAGATCTACGCTGGGGCTATGGCTGCACAGGAGTTACACTGGCTCACCTACCTGCTGACCGACCTTGGAGAGCAGCCTCGTTCTCCTCCAGTGCTGTACGTAGACAACAAGGCCATGCTGGCCTTGTGTCGAGAGCAGCGACTGGAGCACAGGACGAAGCACATTGCTCTCCGCTACTTTCTTGCTCGTGAGCTACAGCAGCGTGGACAGTTGCGACTTGCGTACGTGGCCTCTGAGGCCAACACTGCTGATGTCTTCACCAAGGCACTTGCGCCTTGTGATCATCAGTGTTGTTGCACGCAGTTGGGTCTTGTGCCTGTCTTGCCTCACTTGCTCACTTCTTGACCTTGCTTGTACCTTCACCTATATATACTCTTGCTCTTGCTTGCTTGACTCTTGTATATCTCTATATATGATCTTGCATGTGAACTGGCCTTCTGGCCTTTGAACTTGTGCTCGGAATGTGTGGTGACTTTGTGATCCACCCTGAGCTTTGCTTTGCTTTGCTTGACTGGTCTTGTGACCCCTTGTTCTCCCCCACTTTGCCTATGGGGGTGTGTCAGAACATATCTATAGCTTATACTATTGTGTAGGCTGTAGTGGGGTATTGTGCAAGTGCCTTGGTGAACACATCGGCAGTGTTGGCCTCAGAGGCCACGTACGCAAGTCGCAACTGACCACGCTGCTGCAGCTCACGAGCAAGGAAGTAGCGGAGAGCAATGTGCTTCGTTCCGTGCTCCAAGCGCTGCTCTCGACACAAGGCCAGCATGGCCTTGTTGTCTACGTACAGCACTGGAGGAGAACGAGGCGGCTCTCCAAGGCCAGTCAGCAGGTAGGTGAGCCAGCGAAGCTCCTGTGCAGCCATGGCCCCGGCGTAGATCTCAGCCTCACAACTGGAGCCGAGAACCGAAGACGAGCGAGTAGACCGCCACGAGACAGAGCCGGAACCAAGGCTGAAGGTGTAACCCTGTGACGACCATTGCGTAGCCTGGTCGTCACCCCAAGAAGCGTCCGCGTGGCCTGTAAGGACCACTGGACTCCGCCCTCCAAGCACTAGCCCCATGCCCGACGTACTGCACAGGTAGCGCAATACCCTCTTCGATGCAGCCATGTGCTCTGGTCGGTGTCTCCCAGGAGCAACATAGCGTGCAAGGATGCTCAGAGGGTATGCAAGGTCAGGTCGTGTGCAGGTCATCAGGTATATGAGGCAGCCAACAAGCTCTGCATACGGACCACTCGACTCTACGGACTCATCCGAAGGCAGAGCTGAGAGTGAGTGGCGAGTAGGCAGAGGAGTGGCCTGAGGCGAGGATTACGTCAAGCCGAAGCGCTGAAGGACCTGCTGCACCATGTGTGAATGAGTCAGGGTAATGGTGCGGCGTGCTCTGTCCCGAGTGATCTGCAAGCCAAGGTAGCTACGCAGTTCACCCAGGTCTGTGCACGTGTGTCTCTTCAGCAGCTCGGACTTCACGTAGGCGAGTCCAGCAGTGTCCGCTGTGGCAAAGACCAAGTCGTCGACGTACACGAGGATGTAGAACGGCGGCAGGGAAGTGTCGGTGCGAAGAAACAGCGACGGGTCAGCAGTAGAAGGAGCAAACCCAAGAGCCGCAAGCGTAGTCCTCAGTGTGTCATGCCACTCACGCGGTGCCTGGCGGAGACCGTAGACTGGCCGTCGGAGGCTCCACTGGGTGCCAGGAGGGAAAGTCCCAGTGAAGCCAGGCGGACGGCGCAGCCAGATCTCTTCGTGCAGGCTACCCTGCAGGAACGCAATGCTGAAGTCGAGAGAGTGCAGCTCGTAGTCGCGCTGAGCGGCAATGTGCAGCAGCACCCGAAAAGTGGTCATCTTCGGGGTGGGAGAGAAGGTCTGAAAGTAGTCAACTCCCTGCCGCTGACTGAAGCCACGAGCCACGTAGCGCGCCTTGAAGACAGGCGGAGAGCCCGGCGGCCGCTTCACCCTGAAGATCCACATGCCACTGACAATGTTCGCCCCAGAAGGGGGAACCGCGTCAACGTAGGTGCCTGTGGACTTCCAGGAAGCCATCTCTGCATCCATAGCTGCCTGCCACTGAGAGGAGTAGGGACCCTCTACGGCCTCCGCGTAAGAGCGCGGAGTCGGGATGTCTAGTGCATTCGGGTCTCCCTCAGGGGCAAGCAGTACAGACGCGAGATGAGGTGAAGCAGCCGCTAGACACTGTAACTCCTCCTGCCTGTCCTCTAGGACGTCCGTGCCAAGAGCACACTCACCCCCGACGAACGGAGGACAGACAGACACAGACTCAGCAACAAGACAAGCAGCGTAGTCTAAGCGACAGCGAGCAGCAAAGTCGACGAGCTCACTGACTAGGGCTGACGCAGCAGAAGACTCGAAAGAAGGGTCAGTGACCACAGTAGCAAGGAAACGCGTGACAGTAGGACTGGCAACACGCAGAGAGTCCGACGCAGGGTCGGCAAGCGCAGGAAGAGAGGACGCAGGAGGAGAAGGCAAAGGGGCACGCAGAGGAGCAGTGGACGGACGCAAAGACATCTGATGCGTGCCAGGGACAGGAGGAGGACGCTGACGCGAACCGCGACCACTAGCGCGAGCAGGACGAACAGGCGACGCGGGACGAGACGCAGGCTCACGACGCTCAGCAAGACCTCCAGTAGGACCAGTGTAAGGACAGGGAGCAGGCAGTGGAGAGGAAGGCTCCAGCAGGGACTGCGACTGGACAGGCGGTGGACCCACTACTGGAGGAGAAAGACCAAGAACCTGCTGCAGGAGCGGAACGAAGTACGGCCGAGGCCGCGCAGC